CTTGAATGATGGGCCACCGTGACTCACTTCCCCAGGAGAGGAGGAAGTGCATCTGAGCAGAGGCTGAACTGCCTCAGCTACGTCATGTCTCCCAGCACAGTGCCTGGGACTCAGGAGGCTTTCAGCATGTGCTGGGACAAGGGAATGGTGCCCTGAAGTGACTACCCAATTAACAAGTGTAGAAAGAATACATTATACATAGGTGACTTTTCCTTATACTACATTCATATATCCATCCAGTCATTCATCAACTTATTCAAAAACATACTTACTATGTAAATCAGTGAACCAATATAGAGTCATCTTCTAGGGAAGAACCAGTCCTAAATGTATTTTTAGCTGAGCAAAACTCAGTGGCTGCCACTGGCCTATTTGTTCTCAGACCAGGCCCCTCTATTCCCCTGCTCTGCTATCACAGACTGACTCTGCAAACCACTCTTCTCAGACTCCTTTGCCAACTAGTTTCTGATTAAAATTGGCTCATGGGAGAAATAAAATGGGAAATTGCAGGGCAGAGAGAGCGAAAAACCAAGGTGTTTCTGTTCCCGTCTACTGGGATCCAGCTTCACTCATAGCCTCTCCCTTCGTGGTTCTAGTGATCACAGTCTCCAACGGGCATCCTCGGCGCCTGGGCTCTAGGAACTTCCTCTCCTACCTCAGAACCACAGGCCTGGGAAAGGTAGCTTCTTATCATTGTTAACCTTTGAGGTTTTCTCCCCTTGTTTATTTGGTTTTTCACCTTTTTTTTCTTTTATTAACTTTTTCCTCTTTATTCATGACAGAGTGCATGTGAAAGCAAGGGGGGTTAGAGAGAGAAAGCACTCTACAGAGGGTCCGGTACCACAATCCCCTTCCTCCAGTCCTCCAGCCCGTTAGATCTCAAACACCCCCACACACGCTTGGTGTGTTTCTGGCCAACCAGGATTCAAACTCCAGTCACCATGTGGAATCCGGTTTCTCTTGAGCAGCACATTACTGCTATGCCAAGGAGCCAACCTGGTTTTTCACTTTGTAATTTGTTTCCTGTATTGAATCTTTCCACTAAGCTACCTTGTAACTCTGCTTGTCACTTAAACTCAAACTTCCTTCTCCAACGGGCATCCTCGGCGCCTGGGCTCTAGGAACTTCCTCTCCTACCTCAGAACCACAGGCCTGGGAAAGGTAGCTTCTTATCATTGTTAACCTTTGAGGTTTTCTCCCCTTGTTTATTTGGTTTTTCACCTTTTTTTTCTTTTATTAACTTTTTCCTCTTTATTCATGACAGAGTGCATGTGAAAGCAAGGGGGGTTAGAGAGAGAAAGCACTCTACAGAGGGTCCGGTACCACAATCCCCTTCCTCCAGTCCTCCAGCCCGTTAGATCTCAAACACCCCCACACACGCTTGGTGTGTTTCTGGCCAACCAGGATTCAAACTCCAGTCACCATGTGGAATCCGGTTTCTCTTGAGCAGCACATTACTGCTATGCCAAGGAGCCAACCTGGTTTTTCACTTTGTAATTTGTTTCCTGTATTGAATCTTTCCACTAAGCTACCTTGTAACTCTGCTTGTCACTTAAACTCAAACTTCCTTCACAAATACTTACTGTATGCTGGGCAGTAATAAGTTCATGGGGAAACAAATTACACTATTTTGAAGACTCTCCCCAAACAGCTCCTAAGCAATCAAAGACTGATCATTCCTTTTTAGTATTTAAGCGGTTATAAAAGATAGTCATCAGCACATTAATGGCTTATCCTAAAAACTAAAGTTGCCAGGTAAAATATACAACCATCCAGTTAAATTTTCATTTCAGATAAAAGACAAATAAATTTTTAGCATAAATATGTTTCAAATATGTCTGTGTCACAAATATTGCACTGGACATATTTATACTTTAAAAAATGTATTCATTGTTTATCTGAAATTCTGATTTAACTGGGTGTCCTATATTTTTATTTCCTCATTTCAATACCCTAAATATCTTTTGAGCTAAATATAATTCTCAAATTTTGCCCAGTAAAAAAATTACTGTTTATTGGGGGGTGGGAGGTGGGGATGGGGGCACCAGATGTTGTGGTGGTTAAGGCACTGGGCTCCCATATGGCTAACCATGGTTCGAGTCCAGATCTGTTAGTTTGAAAACCACATCAGGGACTTGTGCATGCCCAAAATTCATCCTTGTTTGGGAGGGGGGGGTGACTTCTCACTTCCCCTCTCACTCTCCCTATGGTGTTAAAAAAAAAAAAATCCTTAAAAACAAAAAAAATCACTGTTCATTTCTTTCTAGGTTTACACTCAGGTAAATCCAATTATTCTGTCATCTTTAATTTGATGCTAATTTCTTTTTACTGTGAATAACCTGACTGCACTGCTGAAAGACTTTAAGTGGCATACGAACACAGCAATTGTTGACCCTATACTATTAGGTCGTTGGGAAAGTCATGACACGTTTTTCTATGCAAAAATGTGTCCTGACTTCCCCAACAACCCAATATATTTCTTACCTTTTCAGTACAACATTTACTATTCTCGTGTCTTTTCCTTATTGATTTTCTTATTTAAAAGAAACTACTTCCTGAAACTTGATACGAAAGACAAAGCACAGACCATGGCCAAGCCACACCACATGACTTACCCACCCCCTTCAATGGTGTGTGCGCAGTGTATAGAGGGGAGGCAAGAAAGTGCCACAACAGAGTGACACACTGTATCACAGCATGCACTCGGCATGATGGATGCAGGAAACGGAAGTCCAACTGGCCCTGAGTGCCACCCATGGGCTCTGCCTGTCACATTGTCTCCAGGATGCCATCCCACTTCTCAAGTCACTAGGAGATTCTCCTCGCCTCGGTGTTCCCCTTCCTCCCCCTGCTTCTTCCCCTTCCCATACTCACTCCTTGGTCTTGGTCATCTCTCAGGATTCCCACACTCAGTCTCACTCCTCTATCCCAGTCCTCCAGTCTCTCAGTCAGGGGCTTATCCCAGGCCCTGCCTTTCCTCGTGGTCCTCTTCCCACCCCAGGTAGCCCCCTTCCCCTGCCCCTAAGCTTAGCCAACCTAACACTATGAAAATCTTTCAAACCCACCTCTTGCTCTCCAGCCCCACGTCATTTCTACCTAGCCTCATACATGGCCCCACTGTTTTGATTCCTACCACCCCCTGACACCTAGTTGGCTCTTCTAAAATATGATCTGACCTTGTGTTCCTTCTAAAGTCCACTGATGGCTCCTCTCGCCTTTTACAATAAAGGCCAAACCCCTCCTGTTTTTCACACAAGGCCCATTCATTAAGGTCCCCTGCTGACCAGCCTCCCTTCCTCACCTTTAGGCCACTCTGCATTCCTCCACAGCTGCCCAGTGTGCTGCACTGCACTGCCTGCCTCCCCAGCCCACATGCCGCAAGCTTCCTCTGCTGCCCGTGTCCCTGGTCCGACGTGTTCCCCATCTCTCACCCAACTTACTCCCACTCCCCCTTCCGGAAAAATCTCTCCTAAGCCCCAAGTTTTGCTTAGGCCTGGGTTCCCACAGGACTTGTCTTGCTGCACCTAATAATTCACTCCTCCTTTGTCTTTCTTGGTTAGAACAGAAGCACTCAGGAGAGAGCCAGCTTACCCATGCAGTGGCCCCATAACTAGCACAGGCCCCCGACCCTGGGGAGAAAGACAAAATGCTAAAATGATGCTGCATTTTCAGGGCTTTCCTGCAAGGATAAAGGGGAGTATGGGGACACACACAGAGCCACTAACAGGGTGATGAGAGGGAAGTGGACCTCCATTTCAAACACCTCTCTATATTGGAAACTCACTTTCTTCATTTGCCTAAACAGAGTGATTAACACTCCCACTGTCTTTGCTAAATAACCGGAACAAACTCCCTACCCTAAGGGTGTTCCTTAGTGATACATCATCAGTTGCCAGACCCCTTGCTCTGTGCCAGGAAGACCATTAAGATTCCATTGTGTTTAAGCAAAGGTCTAGAGATTATTAACCTGCTTGATCTGGCTTCTGTAAACGCTTAAGCATAGGAACGTCCACCTCCTCCTCCGCAATAATTACTGTTCCTACTGCATCAACCCAAATGTGGTTTTTGCCTTTATAAGCCCCCTCCTCCCTACACTTGGGGCTATGGGGTCTTTGAGAGATAGTCACCAGCCTATTAATCAATGAAACTCCAATAAATTTGGCTGTGTCTGGATGTCTTCTTATTTCTTGCTGAGTAGACTATAGCAGGAGGAGGGAGCAGTATGACCACCACTCTGGAACCTACCTGGTGACATTATGTCAAGGTATGCAGGCATCATGCTCTGTGAAAACTATCATACCCACCCTCCAGCCCTCTATTCTTTTTTAACAGGCATCAAAGAGGTAAGGGAGGGGGACCAGCAGGTGGTGTGGTAGTTAAGGTGCTGGACACTCCCAAATGGCTGACCCTGGTTCGAGTCCCAGACCTGGTGGCTTGCTTTCTCACTTTCTCTCTTTCTTTGTGTCTCTCTCTGGTCAAATTAAAAAATAAGTGAATGGATAAGTAAAATTAAATAAATATATACTTAAAAAAACACCAAGGGGGGGCAAGGGAAATACTTATTATATCCCTTGCTCAATTCTTATTTCTAATGGAATAGTCTCTATGTGCAGAGACTGAAGTTCTCTTGTTTTTATCATTTCATTTTGTTCAACAGAGAAATCAGAGAAAGTGATAATAGTTTCTTTGGTGAGAGAAGGGCCTGGTGTTAGCACAGTGCTCTTTTTCAGAACATAGAATTAGAACTCTCTTTAGAAAGGAAGCCCAAATTCATAAAGTTTAGCATTTAAGGATCAGTTTAGAGGCAAACTCTAAACACTTGGAAATCCTATCACCTCTGTCCTGACAAATCTGGTACATGAGGAAAGGATGCAGAATTTTGACCGTCACCATTGAGGTAGTGAGCAGAGCTTACATATCAAGTCATCACAGTACTATGCTACAGGACACGAAAAGAAGACAACCCCAGGACATGCTTCCAACATATATACACTACATACCAGGAATGACTGAAGCCTCGAATCCCATGTCTTCCACAGCAGCTTTGAGTTCTTCTGGGCTAATCACAGAGGGATCATAAAGAACCGTTCCAGTCCCTTCAGCCAGAGAGACTGATATTTGCTGCACACCTTCCCGTTGGGAGATCACGTCTTCAATGGACTGGACACAGGATGCACAGGTCATGCCAGCAATTCTGAGCACCACAGTACTGTACATGCTCTGTCCCTGGTTTCTTTGGGGGGAGCCATAGGAATGAGGACTAGAAGACCCATTATCTGTCCCCTTCCCTTCTACCCCATCAGGAACAGAAACTTTAAAGTTCCCAGGTGGAAGTGCCTCAATGGCCCTCTTCAGAGACACTGGGGTAATACAAGAAGGGTCATATTGTACTTGGGCAGTTCTGTTCTCCAAGGACACTTGAATATTTTGAACTCCTGGAAGCTGGCCTATATTTTCTTCAATATTCAAGACACAAGACTTACAGTGCATTCCATCGACTGTCAGTTGTGTGGTGACCACGTGGCTTCCTTGGCTTCCTTCCAAGGTCTCAGAATTATTGAAATTCTGGTTTGCAGAAGCCGAAAGTCTCTTTGGGTTAGTGCTTTGTAATCGTCCAATATCAATTGGTCCCAGACTTAAGGGGGTCATTTTATTCTTGATGGCAGCTTCAAATCCCATGTCATTTACATGGTCCCTGAGGTCTTCGGGTTGAATAAGATAAGGCTGGTAAGTGATGACTGCCTCTTGGTTGCCAAGAGAGACTTTGACTCTTACTACTCCTTGCAATTTTCTGATCTTGCCTTCGATGGAGCTGACACAGGACTGGCAGGTCATACCCTCTATCCGGAGTTTGACTACAGCCTCCTGGGCAGGTGAGGACCTTGAGGGCCAGGAGGCAGCCTTTCCTTCTGTAACACTGGCCTCAAAGCCCATGTCCCCAATTTCATGGCAAATCTGTTGCAGACTCATAACTGATGGCACATATTTCACAGTTGCAATGCCTTGTTCCAGGGAAACCTTAATGCTTATGATGCCTTTCAAACCAGAAATCCTGCCCTCGATGGACTTTACACACGACTGGCAAGTCATGCCCAGAATGCTGATGTTGGTGGTTGCTGTTGCAGAAGAAGGGTACACGCTGTCCAGACCATCTTCATAGCCAACGTTGTCAAAGGCAAAACTCTGCTTCATTGCTGGTTCCCAGGCATGAGTGGGCAATGAAAGTTTAGATAAGATCTAAAAGGAAAAGGAAAGATATTTTTATCCTAAAAACTCATTTTTATCTATAATATCCCAGCCTGCCTGGCACTGAGAAAATTGCAAACAATGCCACTGGTATCTAAACATTCCAAGGGTATGAGAACATAAAATAAAGAAAGAAAGCTGAAGATATTATTTATAAAATGAACAGACTCACATAGGTTCCTTTTAGCTCAGACATTATGTGATTCTGAAGCTAGAAGTCAGTTGTCTGCCCATCTCAGTAATTTAACTTTCTCACTCACAAGATGGGACTTTATACAGAGGACACTGGCTCAAGACACAGAGAGCACAGCAGACCCCCATGGAAAGGCACAAGTGTCCAAAAGAGCCTCTCCACCTCTGGCTGACACCTCAAACTTCCCTGCAGAACTTGGTCCTTTCAGCTCTAACTTTGGAGATCCTATGAAAATGCAAATCCCAGAACAGGCCTTGCCTTAATTCTGTATCTCTGTCTAGGGGTGTCTGGGTCTGGTTCTCTTACTAAAGGCAAAATGTACTTAACAACCTTAGGGCACACAAATGCGAACCTCCTAGGCCCCAAGGGGTTGGAAGCAGGGTCCAGATCCACAGATGGACCACATGCCTGTGAAAATGCTATGGAGGTACACTTCATGAGTGAAGTGAGCAGGAAGCACTGGCCCATAGGGGAGAGAAGGAAAATCTGGAGGAACAGGAAGTTGAGTTTAACAAAGAATTTCACAGTTCTGCCTCCCTCTGAATGCCAGCGCTCTCCTGGGTATTCGGGAGAGTTACAGTCATTATATGAAACATCAGGTACATCACCAAATTAAACAGACCTATTTTTTATTATTTTTTTTTATTTTACTTTTTTTATTTGGAGAGGTTTTTGCTATAGGGCGTGAGCGCTCGCCAGACAGACAGAGAGAGACAGAAAGCAAGAAATCACCCCCCAGGGCGGATGGCCACGCTGCATTCCCTTCTCCTCCATTCTCCTCTTGGGATCTTGGGCACGCACGCACACGCGCCCAGCATAAGTTTTAAGCCACTGGGTCCAGGACGCAAACCGCGGTCGACTACGTGGGAGTCCAGCGACATAGCCATACGCCAACTGCTGGTCCCCAATAGACCTTTTTTTTAATGCATCACAGTACAAGCATTATTTCCTAATTTCTAAACATCATGATATAGCTTTAGCCGTTCTACTAACAAGACAAAGTCTTCCTTTCACAGGTTTACAGTCTTGCACCTTCTTAATTAGCCGTAGCTTTTATACCAATGCTATTACGTGCTTCAGGAATTAAGGATAGCACTTTATGTAAAATACATGATTTAAAAGCATGTTTCTCTCTACATAACACAATCCTACTTATCATCAGATGAATCTCAATTACGTGGATTAAACTTTTCTATATCCCCGCACATAAAACACAGATATTTATTTCCAACTCTAGCTTTTGAGCAGCTTAACAAGAGAAAGGCTTAAATAACTTTTGAAACAAAGACTAGAAATTCATCCGTATAGCCACAAAGGAAACTACAAACTATATGAGATTAATAATTATATAAGGAATTTATTTTTAAAAAAACATCTACTATAGGAACCAGTAGTTGGCATAATGGCTAAGTCGCTAGACTCCCATGCAGTCAACCATGGTTTGAGTCCCAGACCTGGCGACTGAAACTCACCCTGGGCGCGTGTGCGTGCGTGCCCAAGATCCCGAGAAGAGAATGGAGGAGAAGAGATTGCGGCGTGGCCATCCCCCCTGGGGGGTGATTTCTCGCTTTCTGTCTCTCTGTCTCTGTCTGTCTGGTGAGCACACGTGCCCTATAACAAAAACCTCTCCAAAAAAAAAAAAAAAAAGCATAGAAAAAAGGAAATACTTAATTTATAGAACAGCAATTCAAATAAGTTTGCTAAATTCAAAAAACATACTGAAATTATCTGTAATATAAATAAGGAAATGTGGGCAAATAGGTGATATGGAGGTTAAGGTGTCTGGATCCTACATTGCAAACTCCATGGTTCAAGTCCCAGAATTAGTGGCTTGAAAATCATGCCAGGCATGTGTGCATATATGCTCAAAATCCAAGAGAATGGAGAAGAGATTGTAGCATAGCCATCTCCTGTGGTTTCTCATTTTCTCTCTGTGTCTCTCTACTGAGTGCATGCACTCTATGGCAAAAATATAAAATAATAATGATAATAATAATGATGATAAGGAAATATAATACATATGGATGGTACAGCCTAATAATATTAACAAACAACTGGTTAGATACCTCAGAAACCTACTTAGAAAAATTAAAGTTTAGGACCTATATGTTAAAATACATTGTAGATAGATAAAAATTAAAATGTTGAGGCCAGGAGATGGCATAGTGGTTAAAGCGCTGGACTCCCACATGGCCAACTGTAGTTTGAGTCCCAGACCTGTGATTTGAAACCCACACCAGGTGCGTGTATGTGTCCGTGTGTGCCCAAAGTCCCTGAGCGGAGAATGGAGAAGGGATTGTGGTATGGCCATCCTCCCTTGTGAGTGACTTCTCACTTTCTCTCTCTCTGTCTCTGTCTCTTCAGATTAAATTAAATATTAAAATTATTGGAAGAAAACATAGGAGGCTATCACTAATAATCTCAGACTGAGGACAACCGAAATATGACAAAACAAAACAAAAACAAGAAAACCCAAAGGCTGTAAAATTAAAGGCTAATATAATCAACTGTGATAAGGAAAAGAATTACTCAAACCAAGACAAAAGATAAAAAGAAAAAGAAGGAGAAAAGATTTGCTTCACATAGTAGTAGACAAGATCTAATTTCTTTAATGTATAAAGAGCTCCTTCAAAGAAAAAAAAAGGCCAACAAGCCAACAGAAAAGAAAAGGTATCAAAAAGGAAATGCTTATGGCTTTTAAATAAATGAGAAAACACTAAAGGAGAAATGTAACCCTGCAACTGCACTGTGGCACAACACTCACCCCAGCAATGACTGCTGACTCCAAAGCATAAACCTCCCACATCACCCCTAGGACTATCACCTCTCTGGAGAGCAACTGGCAATGCAAATTAAAAACTCACAAAAGTTGACCCAGCAACTAAACTTCTTTTATTTTTCTTAGAATTATTTAATTTTATTTATTAGTATTTTTTTGTTTTGCTTTTAATTTGCCCAGAGAAAGACAGATAGAGGAAAAGTGAGAAAAAAAGCCACCAGGTTCAGAACTTGAATTGTGGTTGGCCATGTGAGAGTCTAGCACCTTAACCACCATGTCACCTGCCAGCCCAATAAATCAACTTCTAAGAATTTATCCAAGAAGTACATTTGCTTGTGTGAAACCATCCATTAAAACCATGCAGTAAAGACATTAAATGCCACAAAAGATTGAAAACAACATGAATGTTCATCAATAAGAAGCTGGTTAATTACTGTGCATTTACACAGTGGAATACTTATCCAACTCCTAAAGTAAATAAGGTAGCTCTGTAAGTACTGATGTTGACTGATATGTAATATAGGGTTCAGTGAAAAAAAGCAAGGCATGGTATACATAATATATAGAGACTTCAAAAAGTTTGCATTATAGAGTGGTTGGAAAAAAAAAAAAGAAGAGAAAAAGAAAAACTTAGCTGAACTGTGTCCATGTCCTGGTGCTTTATAGAAGACAAAATTTAAAAGCAATAAGCTAGGATACTAGGTAGAAGAAATTTCTAAGCAAAATACTGGAAGAGCTATGTACCTACTTTATAAAGTAAAATGCAAGAGGGAAAAAGCTATTCAAAGAAAATTTATAATTAAAGGAAAGCGGAATATAAAGCTTTGGAAAATCCAAATCCTAGCCACGTAAAGAGTGAAAAAACACCTCTGGGACAGAATTCTAGGGGTGTAGCAAGTGACTACTGAAGAGACTAGTATGGCTAGAAGGAGTCAGGTGCTACTCATCAAGACAACTCAAGACCATAAAAGTATTTTAAAGATCTTCAAGGTTTCCACTGCCACCTCAGACCCAGAGCTCCAGGAGGGCAGATTGGAATGGACACCCCACTGCCCAGGGCTGCCTCAGGACGCCACTCTCAAATTCCATCACAGCACCCCCTGGTCACCCCAGCCAAGATTCATGCAGACCAGGTACAACTCAGGCCTTCACTGCTGAGATAAGCCTTGGTGGCACCTACATAGCGCTAAGTCTACAGACTCACAGAATATAAGAGCTTTGGCAGTAGGGCTACCACCACCTAGATTTCAAAGGATGTTGTGGACATCCTAGGGGCCTGTGCAGAATCCTGCCTCAGGAATAAGGCAAGAACCCTAGAGGGTTCCCACTAGGCCAATGCCTAGTAAAGCTGTGGAAATAGATTAACCTCCAAGACCACAGAACTGTAATGCCAACCAACATACAAATCCAGCCTAGAAGAGCTACAGGAATGAGACTCCCATCCATCAGAGCTGCTGAGTGGACTGAGACCAGCAAAGTCATAGAAGAGGGGCTGTCTAAGACCTGGGGGACCCGACCCCCACCCAGTATGCCTAAGAGGCCACACATGGAATCAAAGAAAATTATTCTCCAGCTTTAAGATATAATATTATTGGTGCCAGAGGTGGCATGGTGGTTAAGGTGCTGAACTCCCAAATCGCCAGTTGCAGTTCAAGTCCTGGACCTGGAGGCTTGAAAATCATGCTGGGCACATGTGTGTATATGCCCAAAATCCTGACAGGAGAATGAAGGAGGAGGGATAGTGGTGTGACCATCTCCCTCTGGGGATGATTTGTTACTTTCCCTTTCATTGTCTCTCTGGCAAATATACACACCCTAAAGTAAAAACCTAAAAAAAAAAAAAAAGATGAAACATTGCGTCCCCTGTTGGGTTGTTGACTTACTTTAGACTAGTTATCCCTCTTTTCTTACCTACTACTACCTCTTGGGAAAGAAATGTCTATCCTATGCCTGCCTCACTATTTTATTCTAAAATATGTATGTATGTATGTATGTATGTATGTATGTATGTATGTGTTT